AAAAAAATGTAAACSTTTAAAACTGCAGACAACATGTTTTTAAAAGWTCAATAGAAACACAACGTGGAACACTGAATATTTTGAATTAATTAGTGACTACAAAAATCTACATGCAGATGTAAAAAGAAATACACTTTCATAAAGGTTTCGCCTTTCATGATTTACAATTTCTGAGAGAACAGCGTTCACTAAATTCAATATTTACATTTTAAGATTTTGATTTTTGTTGTAAGAATTGCTAAATACTAAAACATGGATCAGACGTCAAACAACAAAGTAAAGACAGCTACTAAAGATATCAGTTAATCTACACTATCATATGTGGACTGAAAATTTTAATTTTATTGTGTCTAATATTAAGTAAAAACAAACTGCAAGCAAAATTTACATTTTGTTTAATATTTGTATTTATCTTGACACTCAGTTTTTTCTTAACATTCAACAATAACAAAGTAAAATTCAACAGGCTGAAAAAAATGCCACAYTTTTCCATTAAAATATATGACAAAATAGGAGGCGGAGTTAAAAATGAAAGAAAATGACAAAATTCTCACTGAAACAGTTCAGTACCTGTCCACTTCATTAAGGTGTAAACTGCGGTGAGCCACTTTGGAATGYCGGTCTTTCTGAAAAGGCTTTTGTAAGATTTCCTGCCCCCTTTTTCTGTCAAATGTGAGCAAGAAACACAAAACTTGTGTCATGTGTAAGGCTGTTTATTCACTGCAGGCTAAACATACGCTACTGGGACAACATTAAAATAAACATCTGGGCTTGTTCTGATTTTTCCCTCTGTAGTAAAAAATGAGCTCAACATTTTAGACAAACTCTACCTTTTAAGAGCGCTCTCTGAGGACCCTCCCTGGCCATCATCATCATCATCAGTGAAGTCAGAGTCATAGCCACCACTGCCATGGACCTGATGAAGAAAAATGTCATTCAAGTAACATGTGATGCACTTACTATTGAAAATACACAGCTACTTTAAGAATTAGGTAATACTTCATACACAGTCATCGAATGATTTCCTGATCAGAATTATTAGAAACAAGTATGTGCAGAAAATTAGGACCATTGTTTGTCCTTTTTATATATCATTCAGTTGTTGTTACTGAATTAAGACCAATATTCCTTAAAMTGGCAATACACAACTGACTTTAAAATGTCTTGAGAACATGCTGGTTTTTGCTCAATTTTAAGCTACTCAGAGAATTAAAATATTCAATTTAGTTTTTGTAAATTGTTCAACAGACAGTTGCACAGATAAAGCTATACCATTATAATGCTAGCATAAAAATGTGTTGCAAAGATTAAATAACAAATTGTGTTTAGTTTAACTAAGCAAAGAATCGATTTAAAAAAATCTTCAAACCCCGAAGAATCCGTTTTCAATTTGCCATTCTTTTATTTGCAAACGTGTTTGATGCACACACACGTTATTCACGTCGCCCCCATTAAGAAAGAAAGAAAGAAAGAAAGAAAGAAAGAAAGAAAGAAAGAAAGAAAGAAAGAAAGAAAGAAAGAAAGAAAGAAAAGCTCGTGCTAACTATTTTCGTGCTAACTTCTCATTTTGTCAGACAAATAAATACTGACACACAGACCGCTTACACGCTTCCAGAAATAAAATAAAAACCGGGCCATTTAAAATGTTATAGTTTACCTTCACAAGATCCTCCATGGATGTATCTGTTTCTGCAGGGCACGGCGCTTCAAAAATAGCAAATGTTTACAAACTGAAAAGACCGTCGCTTGATTATGACGCCTGAATGCTTTACGTTGCGTGACGCTGCGTGATGACGTTGCAGCAATCAAAAAATAGTGTTTTGAAAATCAAGTATGGAAGGAATGCAAAGGTAAATGTGCATGTACGTATGACAAACGTATTCAGCATTTCATTAATCACATTTTTAATATTAATTATAGACAGTTACTCTAAATCTGACAACAACTAAAAGAAATTAGTAAATTACCCATCTCAAAGATATATATTTTTTTAGTTTTGTTAGCCTATATGTGCTTTATGTTTTTTTTTCATGTACTTTAAGTAATAGAATTTAACAGCGTTTTGTTGGTTTAGTTTTGTTAAACAGGCTATTTTTGGCCCCCAAATCAAGAAATGAACTTGAGAAATTTAATTTTCTGTGAAAATTATGTTGATATGCAAATGATGAGTGTTGAACGACTGCTAAAATGTACTAAACAAAGTCAAAAACTATTAAAGCRAAAAGAAGCAGGACACTGTATAAAAGCTAAAAAAAATTGAACTAAATCTAAAAGAAGCTGTAAATTCTGGGCAAAACAAGCTAAAAAAAATAAGCCAAATATAGCAAACCACTAATTAAAAACTAAATGTAACCCTAAATGTAACAAAATAGCTAAAAGCTTTAGGGATGCTGAAGGCTAAAAGCTAAGAGTAGCTAGAATAGCTAGAAGCTAAAAGTGGCAGAATGGTAAAAATACTGCATTCTAGCATTCATTTCTTACATGAACTGCATTTTTTGTTTATAATGGCACAATGCAGAAGCAAAAATAAAACAAACAATAATGTAAACAATGAATCAGCATCCACACAAAAATAATGCAAATTAGCAAATTACCCTTCAACATATATGTCTCTTCTAAAACTAACCAACACATAAAAAAATGCATCCTAAATAAAAGACACACAAAATGCTTTTATTTTGAAACAAATAGTTCAATTACACCTCACTAATTGGCTCTTAGGGGGTTCATATCACTCATCTCCTCTGAAAACAAAGGGTGTTTGTAGGCTTCTGAAGCATGAATGGAAAATAAAGAAAGCATTGTGCCTTCTGAATTCATTCCCAGGCTTATGATAGACTGCAGGGGTGAAAGTTCACCACAGTCTGTGAACAAAAGTCCAGTGTTTCCTGATTTACCACTGAAATCAACAGTAAGGAGGAACAGGAACAGTCTAGAATTTGTGGACTGGATATGGAAACAGATTTGGTTCTGTTTTTTAAAAAGCCCCTCTTCTCTTCTTTCCCCCCTTAATTTCATTGTCATGCAGAAGCAGAGAGGGATTTAAATGAGTGGGGCAGGTGCATTTCCACAGAGCCTCATGAATAGACGCTCCCCATTAAGCACGCTCGGCTCTGAAGCGCTCATAAATAAGAGCTGGCAGCGCTGATTACAAAAAAAAAAACGCACCTTAGGGCTTCTCCCCCTCCTCCTCCATCTCAGTCCTTTCTTTCTTTCTGTCTGATGGGCTTTTTTCTCGACATCATTCAGCTTCAAAGGAAGGAAACTAATAGGAAACGGATGATTCCTTCGTCTTCTTGTTTTTCTTTCTGAGGATATGAGATCATTTTTTTCCATCATTGAAAATTTCAGATGTTTTCTGTCTCACGTTTGTAATCCTTGCACAGCAAATCCTTGGGACTGCTTCCTGCTGAGACGCAAGAGATCTAAAGAGAAGCCTGCATCAAAACAAGCCAGAAACATTACAGCATCTTCCGCTGCTGCAGACTGGGTTTCGCCTGCAAGTTTTTCTTATTAAGTGTAGGACTTATCCGGGACAGACGGAGGGAATGGGATACCCGGGCAGAGGATGGGGAGGATGGACTCTCCTGCTTTGGCTCGCTGCTCTCAGCCTGCTGCTGGCTGAGGGACGGAGAATAAGACACTTCAGATGTCCCCCAGGATGCACTTGCACCAAAGACAATGCCCTGTGTGAGAATGTCCGATCTGTCCCTCACACTTTCCCATCGGACGTCGTCTCACTGTAAGCGTGTGCCAAACTCAAACAATTTTTATTGTGCAAAAATGCACATTTATAATGGAAACTAATGTGTCTCATTTATTCAGGTCTTTTGTCAAATCTGGATTTAACGAAATCACAGGAGGAAGCTTTGTTCACTCACCTAACCTACAACTCCTGTAAGTATCTATCTACTTACCCATCCAAAGGGGTAATTGGTGTCATGATTATGCAATAGAGCATCAATGACAGAAAGGAACACTGTTTCCATATGAGTGCAAAACAAATAATGTGTTCCTTTTTTCCTTCACCTTAAAGTGATAGTTCAGATCTTTTGAAGTGGGGTTCTATGGAAAGATTATGAGCAATAGTTGTTGGAGATAGCTCTTTGAAGTTTGGAGAAATTGAGTTGAATAGGATGGAGCAGGCAATGGATTGATAGATTGGGACTTAGTTCACTGTGTTGGGAACGTTGCTCCAGTCCTTTGTGATGAAGAAAGAGCAAAGCCAAAAGTCACACATGGTCATGAGGTTAAAAACAGCTGAAATAAATTTCCTTCATATAGTAGACAGGCTCAGCCTTAGAGGAGGAGCTCTGTCATCCTGTGGTGCATGCTTTTTCTACTTTCTGGGCATACTGTTTATTTTATTTTATTTTATTTTATTTTTACCGTTGGTTAACCTTTGCCAGTCCCATTGAGATCACAGATCTCTTTTTCAAGGGAGGCCTGAGCCTTAAGGCAACCTATTGTACATGTTTTTTGGGGGTTGGGGGAAACCAGAGGACCCAGAGAAGACCCACACAAGCATGAGGACAACATGCAAACCCCGCACAGAAAGACCCAAGGTCCAAACCGGGGATCGAACCCAGGACCTTCTTGCTGTGAGGCGTCAGTGCTAACCACTGAGCCATCGTGCTACCAGTGGGAGGAGACCCCAGGGTAGACACAGGACCTGTTGGAGGGATCTTATATTCTCTATGACCTGAGAACATATTGGGATGGATGGATGGATGGATGGATGGATGGATGGATGGATGGATGGATGGATGGATGGATGGATGGATGGATGGATGGATGGATGGTTTGAAATATATTTTTGCTGTTGTTGTTTTCTTTCAGACTCTTCACAGCTAACTCCTTCGACCTCATTGATGAAGATGCTTTTCAGGGTTTAACACACCTCGAGTACTTGTAAGTATTTCTAATTTTTCCTCATGAGTCTTTACGTAGTATCATTTATTTTGCATTCAGTAATCTCAATTTTATGGAAATATTTGGCTTTAGCTAGGCCATTTACARTTTTGGTGGCTTTCAACAAGCTTCTGGCAGAGTTTTGTTTGTTTACTGTAACCAAAACTGACCAATTTTAGTGAGTTTTTGGATCATCTTTCAGCCGCCAAAGAGGGATTAAAATATTTGACTTTGTAATTGTGCAAACTCCTACATTGTCATTGGTTCATTATTATGTAATGTTTCATTCAAAGATTCATTGAAAACAACAGGATTGCATCAATATCCCCGTATGCTTTTCGGGGCCTGAAAGCACTGATACACTTGTAAGTATTTCATTTTTCTAATAATTGTATTGGCCAATTTTGATTTGTGTTTTGCTTATTTTGTATTTTCTGATTTTTTTTATCAATTTTTTTAAAAATTGTTCAGATTCTTACCTTTTTATTTTCCAAAAAATGTTTAGTCAGTTGCCACAGATTTTCTGTTGATGTAATTTCTCAAAAGCACCATTTCCATGGAAAAGGATATTTGAATACAAGATAATGTAAAGCATCTGTGTCTATTTTCTGCCCCTGTATCAATTTGTTACTGCCTGGAATGCAAAGGTAGGAAGAACTGCTGCTGCCGGTAGTCAGATAACAAGGTGACTGTCTGAAACTGTCAGCAATATCAGGTATTATTTGCGTTTGATAAAGAAAAATGCTTTGTTTTATCATATGACCTTTTTATCTATTTGTTTATGATGTAATTATCTTACTAACTGCTTAAATGACCAAAACCCAAAATAGTTGAGACACAAGTGACCTGTAGGTCAAATCTAAATATAACTGTGCTGTAACTTTAAACTGACTGACCTATAATCTGTCCCTGACTTCTATCAGGTYGTTCCTCTCACATTTAGAGTTTATGAAACACAAAGGCCTGCATACCAGTATAAATCATTTATGGTATAAGGAGCTTGTTACCAATTTAAGAAAAAGTTGTCTCTCGTTTAGAGAAGAAAGCAAAACTTTAATCTGTCAACTTTAAAACTGAGTTTAGTTGACGCTGGTGTTTTTAGTTCACGGGAACATTTTATTACTCTGTAAAAGATATTCATTTTAATTTACTTTCAGGAGAGATCATGCTGCAATCTGYATTAAGAAAAACATTAAGCATATTGTTTTTATTACCTAGAACAAATCTAGAACAAATCTATCAGATGTAGAAGTAACTGGAAATAGTAAGTGTCAAAATATTAGTATTCAGTATGATCTGTAATCATCCTCTGACTAAAGTGAGGCCTTTGACTGGGCCAGATGCTCAGCTCCTGTAAGTCAAAAATAAGCCCAAATTATCAACCCTCCACCACCATGCTGGAAATATGAAAAGAGTTTTTTGTGTCAATATAAAGTGTTTGGCTTTCATTAAACACATTGYGATAAATTATGGCTAAATAACTCCATGTTTCCATTTTTACTCAACAATAAAAACAACAGTAATCTGTAAGTTTGATTTGTTAATGAAATTGAACTCGTTTCCAAATTCACTGCAACTCGAACATGTTAAACTGAGATGTTTATTGGGAATAGGATCAAACCACACATTCTCACAAAGTGCCGTAATGCTTGTAGTTTTGCTTGATGTGAGTCTTGCAACTAATGAAAAGAACGTAATGTAGTGAAACTCATCTATTGCCTGCAGATGTGAGTCTGTTTCTAATTCAAGCACTTTGTGTACTTTTCCCCCTTTTTTTCCCCTTAACAGGAGTCTGGCTTACAACAACCTGGAAACCCTTCCTAAAGATGTTTTCAAGGGCATGGACGCTTTGACTAAAGTGTGAGTCCCTCAGTGTTCCGTCCTTTTTACTTATTTTTGGGAACATATGAAAGAAAGTAATAGAAGAGAAAGAGAAAAAGACTGTTTAACCTAAGATGACAGCGTGTCTGGGTAAATGGTAAACAAGTACAGAGAGAAAAAAAATTGGATTCTGCCTTTGGTCTTACTGTCACAGCCAACCACAATGTGAGTGTCTGTGGATGCAGAACTCTCATCCAAGGTCGATAGCCACTCAGACCAAGAGTGTGCGATGAGCAGAGAGCACTCGGGAGATAGGACACTTGTTGGCTCAGAACCAAAGAGCAGTGAAACAGGGTCCACAGCATCATGGAGTCCTTGAACAGTGACCAAAAAAATACTGTATAGCACTGTCTTAATGAGAAAATGGATCTATATAATGTCTTAACGTTTTCTATTTAATTGTCATAATGCAGAGATCTGAGAGGCAACAATATGATTTGTGATTGCAAGTTGAAGTGGTTGGTGGAGTGGATGCATCACACCAATGCCACCCTGGATGAAATATACTGCAGCGGCCCACCCATTCACCAAGGCAAGAAGCTGAATGACCTGCTGCCGCACTCTTTTGACTGCATCACTACAGGTAACATTCTTTTAAAGTGTCTGCTATTGTCCCGTCTTGTCTTTATAAACAGCTTTGATTACAGCTAGTCAATCAAAAATGTTTATCAATGTTCTTCCAGCTGCACCCGCTTCGGACGTTATCATCCATTAAATGGACGTTATTAGCCGTTATCAGTCCCATAGAATGGCTTCAGACTGGCTTCAGACTGTCCCGACTGTGCTGCCTAGTGGGTTCTCCCACATAGAATGGCTTCAGACTGTCATGTCAGCTGGTTAATATGAGGCATAAAGCCACTAAGGTTTTTTTATGCAATCTGGTTAATATGAGGCATAAAACCACTAAGGTTTTTTATGCAATCTGGTTAATATGAGGCATAAAACCACTAAGGTTTTTAATGCAATCTGGTCAATATGAGGCATAAAGCTGCTAAGGTTAGTTTTAGAGAAAATGACACGGGCTACGGTAAAGTAGACCGGACTCCGGCGGTAGCAGATTGTTGCATTTTAATGTATATGGCACTGGTAACCCACTAGRGGGCACTGTTGGGACAGTCTGAAGCCATTCTATGAGACTGATAACCGCTAATAACGTCCATTTAATGAACTGATAACATCCAAACCAGCTRCCTGCTACTTGTTCAAGAGTTTGATCATGCACTAAACATACAATAACAAATGTGTGCTATGTCGTACTTTCCTCAGAGTTTGCTTCCTATCAGCTACTGAAGTTTGAGTCGATTTCAGTGGAYGCCTTTACTTTTGGAAACGAGGAGTACGTTGTGTTTGCTCAGCCTTTTGCTGGAACCTGCAGCTTCCTGGAATGGGATCACGTTGAGATGACTTTCAGAACTTACGACACTATAGAGAGTGAGTTTAAAACCAAATACAGAGTACAGACTGGAAATGTTTTCATCTCTAACAGAACGAACAGAACGTGGGCATTGTTGATAGATAAACTGTTCATCGGTGGGAGAAAAATCAATCCAGTTTTAGGTAACTGGTCTTAAAAGTTCAAGTATGGATTAGTTTTACAAATTAAAGTACACTGAAGCGTTTATGTTCTTAGAGTACCTGCCAATCATGAAATATATGCAAATATTGAATGCGGTACAGAAAGGGCCGACAGCAGGTTTGGGTGGCATGTTAAGAACCAAACAAAACCACTTGAGAAGCAGTTAGTAGCTACAGACCACATGTAGAGCTAACTGTTAACAGGCAGAAATGCAGCGCTCCAGGTGGAGTGTTGTTATAGGACATGCATCATGGAATGAATTTACCGTAATGTTTATGTTACAAAATTAGTCAATTATATTATGCTTAATAATTTAGTTTGAAAACTCACGAAAAAGCACGAGGGGAAAGAAAACAATGTTCTTTACTGTATTGTATTTCCAGTTTCCCCAATATTACAGAAATTATTGGAAACTATGAGTAATTAGACTCCATGAAAAAATCTGTGAAAGACTGAGTATGCAAACTGTGCAACTTTGCGGGGCTTAATTCTATTCAGTTCAATTCAATTCAATTCAAAAATACTTTTTTGATTCCAGAGGGAAATTAGGTGTTGTAACTCATTTAACTAAAGAGTTATTGTAGATGCTGATGGCTGTGGGCAGGAAAGATCTTCTGTAGCGGTCTGTATTACAGCCAAATTGAAGAAGCCTCCGACTGAAGACACTGTTTTTCTATGACAGTCTGATGAAGAGGATGGTCAGATTTAATTGCCTTTTCTAAACTTAACAATGGTATAAAGATAAATACTGGGAAAATAAAAAATAAATAAATACAAATTATTCGGAAAAATGTTTCTATTTGGTGCTACCAAAGGTTTATAAAAGATCAGCAAAAGTTAAAAAAAAAGCTTTGCTGTACCACGTTTTGTTATTCTGTCATAGAAAAATAGGATTTACTAATAGGTCCTCTGAGGTGTCCTCATTAGGACATAACACAAWTGTCATGTATAGCACATGGTCCCTAGCATTTGTTTTGAAATAAATTGATAAAAATGAAAACATTCGGTCTTCCTGTCTTCCTTATCTACTGTATTTGTCATAACAATTTGGTGGCAGAGGTGGGATTCTTCATGTGTTTTTTGCACCTGAGCTGAGATAAAAGTCTGGCTGTAGCAGACAAATTCATTTATTCTTTAACTGTAGAGTTGTTGTTTTTTTACAAATATAGATAAAAGTTTTTTAGATGGTACAAAACTAATGTCAGCATAAGCAAATGTTTTCCAACAAATGTTAAGAATGTAATTTTGTACGTTTTTCTTTCCTTTGAATATTTTGAGGCACTTCCACTGTTGTCTGCAAGCCAATGGTGATTGACAACCACCTCTTCATCATTGTGGCCCAGCTGTTTGGAGGCTCCCACATTTACAAACGAGACTCCTCTGCCAACAAGTTCATCAAGATCCAGGACATTGACATCCTGAGGATCCGTAAACCCAATGACATCGAGACGTTTGTGATCGACGGAGAGTCTTTCTTTGTCATCGCCGACAGCTCTAAGGTCGGAATATCTTCAGAGAAGACACTTGAACATTTTTTGGCAGTATTGTACCACTCTTACTGTGACTCCTGTTTTAAATAATGCCACCGTGTCTGCCAGTTCTTCCCCTGGTGTTCTTGTTTGCAACATGTCAGCTTGTGTCTGCTCCCGCTGATTAGCCTATTATTGCCAAATTATTGCATATGGTCCTACATATTCTTGGGGACAAACACTCGTCTGTGTTACAAATCACTACAAAAAGCATCATCTAACATTTATATCCACGCTCTCTCTGTAGGCTGGTTCCACAACTGTGTACAAATGGAACGGCATTGGTTTTTATTCCCACCAGTCACTCCACCCGTGGTACAGAGACACAGATGTCGAATATCTGGAGATCTCCAACAAGCCCCATCTGATTTTGTCCAGCAGCTCTCAGAGGCCGGTTGTCTACCAGTGGAACCGGAGCCAAAAGAAGTTTGACCGCAGGACTGATATTCCAGATATGGAGGACGTCTTCTCTGTCAAACACTTTCGAGTCAAAGGTAAAAAAAAAAAATCTCAGCCCAATTCGTTTATGTTGCAATTCAGCAACACAAACGTGTGTCTTGAGCTTTAGCTAAACTTTCAGGGGGCGACAAGCAATGAATTATTTGGGGAATTACGTAAACTGCTTTTTTGTGAGCTTTTTCCCACTTCAGATCCGTGTTTATTTATTGCGCCAAACAGCCCTCTTGAATCTTTGTCCTTTTTGTAAAGGTGATCTCTTCATATGCTTGACAAGATTCATCGGGGACTCCCGGGTGATGCGCTGGGACGGTGCCATGTTCAAAGAGGTCCAGACATTTCCCTCCCGAGGCTCCATGGTGTTCCAGCCTGTCTCTGTCGGTAAATGGCAGTACGCCATCTTGGGCAGCGATTATTCACTGACGCAGGTCTACCAATGGGATACTAAGAGGGGGCAGTTTGTCCCATCTCAGGAGCTCAGCATTCAGGCACCTCGGGGGTTTTCTGTGGTCTCCGTTGACAACCGAGTGTTTCTGTTTGCATCCAGCTTCAAGGGGAAAACTCAGATATACGAGCACATTATGATCGATTTGAGTGAATAAGCTCGTGTATAGGAGTGTCTAAATCAGACTCTTCTTTATGTCTATATGGGCTATTTTACACCATCCAGCCTGTTTCAGCTATTTTTTTAACATCTTTGTGTTGTCATCCTCATCCTTGGGATGATCCGAGATGAGTGAGAATTTTTAAACTCTCATCATGACAGCAGTTCATGATGAAACCAAATGATTTTTAATAATCCCTCCTGCTTCTCTGTCAAGAGTTCAAGCTTTTCCTGTGTTATCTTCTGTCTGTAGATGTATTTCTATGCTGATTCTTAACTGAAGCTGAGAACATGTCTCTTCAGGTCTGCTGACTGGCTGAGAGTCCCATCTGAGCCTCACAATGTGACATGAGAGGCCTTTGGAAACACTTGTCTTGACAAAAATCTTGTAAAAAAAAACGACAATCTTTAAAAACCTAGAGGAATGCTGTTTGTATTATTAGCTTCAGTTTTGTAGTTAGCAATGTTATGACTATAGCTTTGTCATTTAGGTTTGTAACGAGACCAATAGGGGTGTAACGGTACATACGCAGCAGTTTGGTACAGATGTTTTAGATGGGTACAGTGAACCGACAATGAATAAGTCAGTAACATGTGGTCACTGCTCCCAGCGTGACCACTCGTTTTTTAACAGATTTTTGCTGACAGCACCTGAATGCTTTGTTGGTTCAGAAAAACACTCAGAAGCTTGAAGACCTGCCTGTTTATTTCACAAACAGCTGCAACAGTGGGAGACGAGAGGCACATAAATATGGCAGGCAGTTGCATCATATAAAGTACTGTGGCAAGCTATTTGTATTTTTATTCAGTATTCAAAATGATGTAATTTTCTCACACTAGGCACTCATCTAACTGAGAAGTTGGAGTGTTTCATGTTTTTTTTTTTTCATTGTTAATCAGTTGAATGTTGCTTTTAACTTTGCATAAAGTCTGGTTCATATTAATGAAGCAAAAACTCCTTGATTTTTTTATTTTTATTTTAATTATATGTTAAGTAATATATTCTTTAGAGTATTCAATATTTCTGTTTTGACAAATTACGCTTTATAGTTGAGACTGGATAAAAAAAACAGTAAAGTATGGCCTTTTTCAATTTTAAAGTAAATTTACCAACTGATAAATAATACCGTGCAGAATCTGCTGCCATATCAACAAGGGTGCTTTTAATGGTTTTTGTTTCCGTTTCTGGAGAAGTTATTGTCCAAAAAAAAGGGATCCTAATACCAACATACCAAACCATGACTTATGTGTACCGTTACATCCCTAAAAACAATATTCAGTTAATGGTTAACTTGATTTCTTCAGTCCCTTTTTTTTCCTAAAGTGAGCTGTGAAACAAACAAATCATCCGAGCACTGTGAGAAAGTGAGAGAAACACACACTCATGGTGTTGGTTTCTGRTGAATGACGCACTAGAAGCATCCCACTGTGTTACACTTATCCCTTTTTCTCCCTCAGCGACAATACCATTGTTGTCTTTTACTCCACAACCAAAAGCTAACCACCGCTTCACACACTACCTGTGCTTTCACACCGTCCTCTTACCCTAACACAAAAAGAAGCCAAGTACTGATGGCACGAATGCCCTCCAGAACAACAAATTGCCAAAACAATAATGAAAAAAAAAAGCATTTACTTGTTTACATGTCTGTAATTTATATTACTTTTGTAGATGGTTCCAAAATATGTGTTATTTGTAAAAAGCATCAGATAAACTGGGGAGAAAAAGTTAATAAAGTTAGTTTGATAAATAGTGTAACACTGTAATCTGTTACAGATTTACTTGTCATTTTTATCTAGTTTATTAAAWATAGAAGATATGTATGTGTCATTTTGTCTGTTGTGTTTTATGAACAGTAGTAATAAAGGATTAAATCTGAAATTTTGTTTAATTGTTCTGTGATTGCAATAAATTCAGAAATTTAGGTGTGCTTTTACAAAAAAACTAGTTTAATAAATAAATATTATAACATACCTGTTTCGTCATTTAAATCTGGAACTTTTTTTTCTTAAAAAACAAATAAAATGWCGTCTTATAAATCACCTCCACACAGCTGATGAGAAAATAAGTTATAATAAAGTTTTAAAAGAAGCGTGTTGGTTGAGGTGCAGATATTAAAAATATTCAATTCAGTTTATTCATATAGCGCCAAGTTACAACAAACGTCATCCAGGGCAATATACACAAAAAATATGAATCTAAAGAAGCCAGCAGATTGTCTTGAATCTAAACTGAGTTTGAGATATTGAGATTTGCGTAAAAATGAATCCATAAAGATACCATCTAGCCATTTCAGTAACACCATATAATTTTCCTCATCAAGTCAAAGCTATCCAACAGGCATGTCTTCACAAATAATCTTGTTATTTCCTTTGAAAATGACCGATTTTCTTTCTTAGCCTCAGGAAAGCCCTCAGAATAATGTTTATTGTGAAGTTTAGAGATACTCCTTTTCAAATATAGGGCTATATTTCTCAATCACACTCCTCCAGACCAGTAAAAATCCAGTTTTCAAACAGGCATGCTTCTAAATAACCATAGTTTGTTGTTAGCTGTGGAATAAATCACCAAAATTCAATAAAGTAACATTTTTGATACAAAATTTGAAAAGAAAGATAACACATTATGGAAAGATGTCTCATTGTGACTTGTTTTGCCAGCACATGTCTCTGTTCAAAGACCTATCTAAAACAGGTAAGACACTGATTGTTCATAACTTTTTCAGAGTCCCATTTAAAACATCCCGCGCTTTCAAACCGCATCATGGTATCAGTATAAGAGCATTAAACGTAAAAAGTCGAGAAAGCTTTCATCATTCTGATTTTTGAGCCCAGACGTGTGAGACCCGGGTCTTTATTTAGGTTTTGTTCCCTGTGACACCTGACGTAGGCGTAACTGTTGTTGGGCAATGTTTTAATTTCCCCACAGGGAGGGGTAGAGGGTTCACTTCTGCCCCCMTGTGGGTAAAGAAACCACCGCACGGGAGCTGCTGAGGCACCAAGGTCAGCCTCTCAGGGAGAAGCGACGCCCGGGACTGTGTTCTCACGGAGGAGTATGCTGCCGCCACTGAGCCGTCACATCTCACCACCACCACCAGCACCATGGGCGAGTGCGAGCACTGTACGCGCGAGACGCCGGCTTTAGAGGACGACGACGTGGCTGTCGTGCTGTTTGACGAAGAAGTCGTCAGCCAGGAAACGCAAAACCAGCGCGACCGAGAAGAGGAACAAGACGAAGAACGCAGCGGCGAACAGACAGAGGAGACGATACATTTGAGGAGCAACTGGCTCAGTCACGATGAAGAGGAGGGAAGAAGCGAGCGTTCACGGGGGAAGGCGACGCTGTGTCCACCGGCGTGTTGCGTCAGAACCAGCCCAGCATCCTCTTCCTCCTCCTCACCGACAAGCGCAGGTGAAGGTAGGAGAGGACGCACGCGCGCTCAGATACCCTCATCTTCACMTCGCTTATATAATAATGGCGACATTTGAGAAGGAAGGGAGCGAAATTGACCGGTTCGAAATACTTCCTGGGTAGCATTACGTAATACGCCACGACGTGSTGACCGGTCATGTGTCTGATCAGCAGGTTATCTTCACAGCAGTTTGGTTTACTTTCTCGGTTAGGCTGTCACCCCCCGCGGAAAGGCACGGACTGGTGATAGTGTCTTTGCCCCTGTGCGTGCGTGCGTGCGTGCGTGCGTGTGTATGTGTGTGTGTGTGTGTGGGGG